CCCCCCCGGCCAGCTTTCCCCCAGTTTATGTACTGAGCATGACGTCCCATGGTATGGAATGTCCCTTTGGCCAGTTGGGGTCAGCTGTCCTGGCTGTGCCCCCTCCCAGCTTCTTGCTGGCAGGGCACGGGAAGCTGAAAAGTTCTTGACTAGTGTAAGCGCTACTTAGTCACAACTAAAACATTGGTGTGTTATCAACATTATTCTCATACTAAATCCAAAACACAGCACTAAACTAGGAAGAAAATTAACTCTATCCCAGCTGAAACCAGGACACCTTCTAATAAGATGGGATACAGTGGCATGGGGACATGCAGTGAAAGACCAGAAACACGTGCAAAACACAAATTCACGCACTGATTTCAGTTTCATCGCTCTAGGCAATTGTACACATGAATGAATTCTTTTAAGACAAGTATTTTCTTAAGGGTGTAAACGTCACAAGGCTAAATAGGGTTCATTTCTTTAAGCAAGTAGCTGGATATTTCTGATCATCTGGGGACTGGTGTAGAAACACTCCGCTGTGGCTACCCAACCGGCCAAGAGGGATCAGCACCAGCAAATGTAGTAGGGAGAGAATCAAGAGCTTCTTGCCTCGTTCAAGTATTTCTTAGGAAAAAGCCACCTGCAAGTCCTTCTTGATCAAATAGTCTATAAATACAGGTAAAAGGTGCTACTGTACATAGTCAAGTCATACAGGAGTTGTGACAGTTGGTGAAGGACTTGTGATAAATGTAAGGGTAGCTGGGAAAGCTCTGAAACACAGCTCAGTCTGTCCAGGCTAATCTAGCTGAGCTTCTTTGAACAAAACACTTAAGGAGAAAAATAATGCATGAGGCCTTAAAAATTGCCATTTATTGGCTCCAGAACACCCACATTCAGCTCTTTCTGACTTTCCCTGTGCCGCACAAAGAAACTCAAGTCAAATAGCATCCAGGTAAACTTATAAATGGCAAAATAAATCCTTTGTAGGTGAAAAACAAAAATAGCTTTGAAGAAGGATGCATATAACCTTGTTAATTTGCCAAAAGTTTTCAATCTTCATCACTTTAGAAGCAAGGTTAAGAGAGTAGATAAAGGTTGAGAAATTCAGAAGGTGCTCAGATATACCTTTATCTCAGGTTCAGAGCCTTAAACCTCAGAAGTAAAACAATGTCAGGGAAAAGAGATTGACAGTGATGCCTTGTGTTGGGAATCAAGGGTTGGAAGGACTGCCTGTACTAGGCAAAATACTCTCGTGATAATGATGCCAGTAAGATTTAATTTACCAGTCTGTTCTAGGAAAGGTAATGACCTTAATATCATGGCGAACTTATCAAGAGGTCATCCATGCAGACACACGCTGATTTATTTTCATAATAAATGAAAATAAAAGTCCAGCCACATGAATTTGCTTGCAGGAATGAATTTATACCATCTATCCAGCTTTGTGTTTAGTATCAGAAGAGCCTAAGAACATTTTATTGATATGTAGGGATTTAATTCCAACCCCTTTGAGAATCTCTGCAGAAAAGCAGTTCAAATTCATTTCTAACCAGACCAAAAAAAACCACCCAAACCTACCAAATATATAATGGGGAACAACATCACACTGGAATAGGGATGCGCCATTTTATCCCAAGTACTGTTCATTTGCTGCTGTGCCATAGACGAAGTACTACATAATGCCTCTGTTAGTAGAGAAGAGTGCTTACATATGCATTACTTAAGGGTATGCTCTCTCTGGCTGGCTAATTCATTTTTGAGAAGCATATTTCTGAGAAGGTGAAAAGGGAGTGTCTAAATACAAATCCAACAGCCACTGTGGAAACTTGACTGTGTAGTCCAAAACATGCTGCTCCAAACCCTGGAGGTCCTAGGTCCACAGATGCCGAGGAAAAGTTTCCTTCACAGATGGGAATTACATGTGTTACACAGCTTTCTCTGTGCCAGTCTGCAGAAGTGTTGGCACAGCTAATTTGACTGGAGAAGACAAGAGCATAGTCATAATGCAAAAAAAAAAATGGAAAGGAAAGAGTCTGATGAACCAGCCGAAATGGAGATGACAGAATGGCACGGGAGATGAGAGCTGCCACTTAAGTGTGCCATGCGCACACTGTGTAGTTTAGCTCAAGATTTCTCAAGCTGGGCTGCAAGCAGTGAGTCACAGGCAGAAAGAAGGGATATTTATGGGATTTTGGTTCTTTGGAGGAAAAAATATGAAACAGTCAGAAATGACAGAGAAATGAGAGTGCTGGATGATGGGAAACAACATATGGGGAACAGAGGAGAGGGAGCTTTTGGCATCATTGCTGCAGCGTACATCTCAGTGTAACTCATATTGATCTCCGGGGGCCAGTTCATTCCTACTGGAAGAATCTGGCTTCTGGGGCTCCAGGTACAAAATGAAAACCTCTCAATTTCTAGAGCACCAATGTTAGTGCTTGCCAAGTGTTTTCTCTTTTCTATTCCTCCCTGCACATATTTTTTTTTTTCTTTTAGGGCCAGTGGAAGATTTAGCAGAACAGGCAGTTTTCCAGCAGGCTTAATTTTTAAAGTTGAACTGATCAGATGATTTAAGATTTGCCAGATGAAGTTAGCATTTGCTTATCCACTCTATTGTCTGAATTCTGCTGGGATTTTGTATGTATAGGTGCATACGCATATCTGTGTGTACACAGACACAGCAGTTTTTAACTCATCATAGAGGTACCAAGGCTATTTTCTGTTCTAAAAACACAGGGAGGATATATGTTAGGTTAGACACTCCTCTTAAGTAACTGCTGATGATTCTGATTTCCAGATATGATATTTTTTGCTGTCTGGAAACTAAATGCTCTAGGATGGTGCTGATTTGTTCAAGAAGGAGCATATTATCTCAGCCACTGTTGGAGTGCTGTGTCATTTTGGAAGCAACACAAACCTAGGAGCTTTCACTTTTGTTCCATTCTACATATTCTCCTGCTGTCCTTAAGAAGCCTATGGAGGACTGAACAGAGTTTTGGGTGTTGCAGGAGTAAGTTAATATGTAAATAATTACCTTTAATTTTCCCCAAAATACTTCTTCAGAATTGCTGCTTCAGCTGCCATTTCTTCTTCTGTCCTCCACTTGTCAGGGGAATCCTCTTTGTCATGTTGCTGCAACTTTTTTGAGGGAGGAAGAAGAAAAAAAACCAGTTGGTTGGTATTTTTTTCCAGTTTTATTGTCAAATTCAGGGCATGCCTGTATGCAACTAATCTATTCCACGTGTCCACAGGATGAAGGGACCTGGTGACGAAGGGTGAAGGTTACCGGTTTAGAGTGGTGACAGTAGTTAACTGGCTCTGGTAGATTTATGATGATAACGCAAGGGGCCAGGGTGTTTGATAGGCAGTGACAGAGTTCACCTTTGAGTTGATGGTCAGATACCTTGCGAGTCTGATGCACAGCTGGTAGGTAATAGGATAACAAACACACTCAGGTATTTTGAAGTGCCCATTACATCCATGGAGCAAGCTAGGCAGAAGCTGCCTGGACACCTTGTCAGTAATTCATGTAAAATTTTCTCTCTGGCTTTTCCTCTCCCCATTAAAGACCTATTGTGATAACAAGGCCCTGTTGCTGCTATTTTCCACCAGAAGTTTATACCAGTAGTTTTCAGAAGAGATACATTCCCTCCCTGCATGCAAGTTATTAGTCCTTCCTTGCCCTTGTTGAAAGTGAGACACATCCCTAGTCTAGAAATAAAACTTGTTTTTTTAAGCACAACTATATTTCATTAGTGATTTAGTGGGGAAAAATATCAAAAGTATGTGAAACAGTTAAATTTTGCATCTAGCTTGCATAATATGCACACAAAAATAAGTTCTATCCCATATGCAGTAAGTATTAGGTGTTATTATCTCAGACATGACAATTTCAAACACATATTTTGCCTCTCCGGAAGAAGGGAGAAGCTGATGGTTTTGCTGCTCTCCAGAAGAAGGGAGTTCTATTTTATGGTAAATATGTGCCACCACTTGAGTGACTATTTGTACACATGTCCACTCAAAGAATGCCTGCCACTCATCAAGGGAAGACTACATTTACAACAGACAGCAGAAACATTTGGATTAACAACTTCAGTATTGAGATATCCAGTGTGTCTCTAGGTACAGAGCACAGCACAGATTGTATTAACAGCATCAGTACTTCTGAGGAAAATTATAGTATCAACTTTTTGTTAATGTCACAAAGTCAGAAACTATTGAATTTACACCTTTTATTCGTGGACAATTTTAATGCAGAAGATGAAGCAGTGAAAATCAAAGATGAAGCAATACTGAACCTGCCAAACAAACTGCATTACTGTATATGGCATGTTTAGCAATAAACTAGGATTATTAGCATACATCCAACTCACAAATACTTTTATTTGTGCAGTGTTTCTCCTACTCTGAATTTTGCTGCCAGCTATAGTCCTATGTAGTTTTACATTCTGCAGCACAGATTTCTTCCTGCTCAGCAGATGAAGCTGCATTAGAAAGCTATTTCCTTTCATGCCAATAAAATACAGTAGCTGTAGGCAAATTAAAGTGTATTACTGTTCAACTAGTAGAGGACTAATCTTCATTGTTACATTAGCTCTAGGTGTGTTATAAATCCATCTTGTAATAATGCGACAGTATCATGGAGAAAGATTTAAAAGCCACGAACAGGTACAGTGTATACACTGTCACACACATCCTTTGCGTCCACGTGCCTGCTCTCACCCACTGTACACACCTATATGGTGTATAGGTACCACAGCTGAGCTGGCAGCGAGAGGGAGTTACAGGAAGCAGCATACATCATCCTGTACTCTCCATGGACTGCGAGCGCTTACACTTCACAAGAGGATGCACCAGGACGAGCCAAGTGGTGGTAAATCAATTGTCTGAGGCGTGAGCTGTTTTTCTAAAAAAGCAATGTCTTGCTCATTCGACCTAGCATCAGCAGGAGATACAGCAGGCAACAGCTAGAAGGCAAGGGAGGGCAGCCCCTGTTCCTCAAGGTCTCCTTGGTTAACCTGCAAGAAGTGCTTTTAGTGACGTGATTTGTCTGCTGTTCTCCCTTGCTATCCTGTTTCTGCGCAACCCAGGTGAGAGCTGACTCCAGGAGGAGACTAGTAAAGTGGGGATTTGACTTGTAGTTTTTATTTTTATTTTCCCTGTTCAAATAAACTGAAGTGAACAGTAATAAGGAGGCATATCCTGAAATGGCTGTTGTTGTCGTCTAAATTAAAACTGTGTGAAGTTGCAGACCGTGGTGACTTCTCAAAGCTGGCAAAGGAGAGGGTTTCTTTTGCTACATAACTGCTAACCTTTAAAAATAATCAATCTTTGACTTAAGGTTAAAACAGATATATGGGGAGCAGTAATGAATTCTGAAACTTGCCTGGAAACCCAGCCTACTTCAGCAGTCCTGGCTCCTGGTACACAGCCCACAGTACTGCACAGCAAGCCCCAGCCTGGCACAAAAGCGCTCAACACAGCCTTACCGTGCTCTGCTGCGGTACGCGTTCACGCGCATCTCATACCGAAAAGATGTATCCACATTTTGTGGACACACTGGGTATGACGAACAACACACTGCAGTGTTAAATCACTGCCATCGCCAATGCAGTCATTGTTAACTGACTTACAGATGAATATTATTTCAGTATAGAATTGCTATGTCTACCCAAACAGGATCCCAGAACTATTCTGTTTTCAAACCTCTTGCTGTGTCAGTAATGTCTGAAGTGCAATAAGCAGTTATCACCCCAATGCCACTTAGTTTCTGATGTTATCTAACTGCCACTGTGGAGATTTGGAAAACTGCCTCTGGTGGCTGCCTACCCTTCTCTGCTACCGCCATCCTGCAGCTCCACTACAAACCAAACTATATAGCTAGCCACTTTGAAGGACAATATTAAATTATGGATAACCTTGCTGGATGATGTTCTGGATGCTAAACATTATGGAGGTTCAAGATCAACAGCACCAATAAATAGAAGATAAATGAATTAAGGGCTGCTGATACTACCTCTAGTTCAGAGATTCTGCATGCCACAAATTAATGGAGGCTGGAGAGCACGATGGAGGCACGTCTCTGCACCTGCCTGGTTCTTCAAATCTTCTCTTAGCATCTGCTAGTGGTCTCCAATGGTGACAAGATATTGGGATCACGGATGGGTTTGGTTTCAGCTAGTTATTTCATGTGTTCTTATGTAAAGTACTTTTCAACCAGGTTCAGATCTCCATGTGAAGGCCTCAGTAAGCTAGAGCTACTTTTATTTAATTTATTTTTTTTTTTTTTAAAAAGAGGCTAAGACAGTCTCCATAGTATTTTGGCTGACTTGGAAAGCTACTTTCAGGGAAGAAGAACATACATATTTCAGTATTAAATTGTATTGATTTAGAATTCAGGTGGGAAACAAACCTAACAGTCGATACTTGTTTCTAAGGGACTTCTGTGCCTTGGAGTGTGTTCATATTCACACGCATATGCAAGTCCCAACCGTGCATCTTTACAAACATCTGACATGCTATTGAAAGTTTGGATTATACAGGGGAAGCAATGTTCTCCTGCACCTGGAGAACACTCCAAGGTTCTGCTCAAAGCAAAGGGGGAAAAAAATACCTCTATTTTCCAGCTATCCATCTGTAAAAACTAGTGATTTCCCCTTGTTTTTTCCCCAGTCAGAAAAAGCTGGAGAACTTGAGGTGACGTCCTTACTCAGATAGGGATATTCAAACACAGACTAGCTCGAAGTCTGTGATGCTTTCTGTACAACAATTTGACTTCTGTAAGCTCTGAATAAAACCAAAAAATCTTATCCAGAGGCCCACATCATCTGCCTGACATGATTTTCTGTGAGACACGTTTTACCCAGATTTCCCTGATGGAGATTAACTGATCCACATCCTCTCAAAAACACTTTTGCTACCTTCTCCATGGTTCCTGGGACAGGGCTTCCATATTACCCAAAGGCCCCTAAACAACAACTGTTGCCCTTCTTGCAATGAACGCTTCTAGAAGAAATCGCTCACCTTCAGAATCCCTTCCCAAGCAAATGTGTGCATTTCCAGTTGCAATAGGCAGCTGCTATTTCAAGTGAGATGAAAATAGCACATGGTGAGGTTACAAGAGTCAATTCTGTGCAAAACACTGAAGTAAAGGGGACAGATTTTGCTCAGGCTCTTTCAGGGACATCCATGGGGTGATGGGGCCATCACCAGGGGCTTTTGCAGAGCTCTGGAGGCACACTGGGCTCTCTTAACAAGCACTCTTTGGTAAGTAATGGAAGACTTGTGTCCCCTGAAGCCCAGGTCCCCCACAGACGTGGAGCAGGAGAAGAGTGGGGAAGCACAGCCTGTTCTCAGCAATGTTATGGTAATGTTAGCCAAAGTTGGTCAAATACAGACTAAAATATACAATCCCTACACTAAGTGAAAGAAAGAAGAATTAGGAAGCTATAATGATAAAAAAAAAAAGAAAAGATATAAGCTTTGGGTGAGCCTGGCAAGAACAGAGACAATGAATACCAAACTACAAGGGATGGATCTCCATGGTGTTTCATATTGACATGAGCTTCTATATCTTCTAACTAACCAAATACTTCCGTTCCAGGCTGCACCCCAGGAAGGAAGCAGCATTTCTTGGTATCTGGACAGCAATTCCTCCTGCAGGACATAGCATAGGTGCTGGAAGCAGGGTCTGCCTACATGCAGCCTTGCATCACTGCAGGCCAGAGTGCGTACCAAGGCACAGACAAGGCAGGTGGCAGTCTATAAAACCTTTTCCGTAGAGCTCCAAGCTAGTTACTATTTTAAAACTGCTGGTACTTTGCCTGTTTTCATAAAAGAAAGGTGATGCAAAAGCACCACACCAGATAGACAAGACGTTCTACTGCAAAGCTCAGAAAGCCCCAAATTCTCTGAAGCCACACCCATTGTTGTATTACAGGAGTGTCTCAGAAACGTAAGCATTAACAAAAAGGTAAGCAACCAGATTAGCGTAGCTCAGGTAACTATGAAAGGAGAGCATGAATGTTTCTTTTAGACACTCTCTATTATGCTACCTTTTTCTTTTAATATTCTGAACAAGCACCGAGACACACATTAGTCAATTCTCTAATCGCAGTTGCCCAGCAAATTACACA